TATATATATATATATTACGGTTTCAAAATGTTTGCAAAAGGTTTTAATTCCCGGGATCCATGTGAGTAGAGAGTGCAACACTGTTCCTTGCAGCTGAGGGAGAGGTCCTCTCTTGTCGGGCAGTGTTTGATCATTATGAGCTGAGAGGTTAAGTGTAAGACCATTGAGGGTAATACCTGGTGGGATAATCTTGCATCTGCCCACAGTCCCTGGGTTTTTATAAGGTGGATTGACCCAGGGACCACTTAGTGTAAGTGTTGGGCCCATTAAGAGCCCATGGTGATGGGCTCAGGGGTTCACTATCCATAACAGTGAATTCGGCCTGGCTTTGTAACAAAGGTTGGGTTGAACCCATGTGGCTAATGTGTAGATCAATGTTTGGGTCCCACACCATACAAGGAAACCCAACTAGGTAGTAATTTGGAAGCTTGTGAGCACATGAACTTAATGGGCCTAAAGCCCAATTCGAACTGGTTTAATTAGATTAATTAAAGAGGGGCGAATCTGGGATTTGGATCAGCAGATAGGATAATGGATTATCCTTATCCACTCAGAGAGTCTAGATCCAAATACAGATTTAGATTTGGAAACTCCTAATAAGCTTAGGAGGGTTGATCTAGATCTGCAAATAAGATAAGGGATTATCCTTATCTCTTAAAGAGAGTTCAGATCCAAATAAGGATTTGGATTAGGAAACTCCTAATGAGATTATGAGCTCTCTTTAAGGTTATAAAAGGAGGAGGAGGGCGGACATCCAGACACAACAATTCAATTAGATCTCAGATCACAGAAAGAGAGAATATAGCAACAGTAAGACTGCACCATCTTTTGCTCTTGCGCCCTCCTTCTACTGTCGCCATTGCCAGTTCGTTCTCCACTGTAGGAGCGATCAGGAAGGGTTCTTGATATTAGTTTTTGGAGAAAAACTGATTTGAAGTCGTGCTCACATACCCTCCATCGAATTCTTGCTGAAGGATTCGGTTCTTGTGAAGAACCACCTGCTGATTCTGCTCCACCCTATGCTGTGTCATCTTTAGTGGGAGCAGTCTTTGGAGCTTTCTTTGGGTGTGAACACCTTCGTTGGGAGTTACTTCTACTCCGTATCAGTTATATCCCTCTCTTACCTTTTGGTTTTAGATCTGGTTCGGTTTAGGTTCAAAATTGATCATTGAAAATGCAGATTTTCTAAAACTGGAATGTGATTCTCACATGGGAGAGAAAAATTTTTGAAATTTTGCCCTACCTACCTGTAGGGTTCGGCTATCCATATGATGGATTTCTCATCCCTTCAATTATATATTTATCATATTAATCAATAAACAAGAAATATTTTTATTAGTGATGGAAATGAAATACATTATTTGAAATAGATCCAAAATGAAACAATTTTTTTTTATTCAAGTGGTGGGTTGATAGTTCAACCTTTTAGGTCAAATGGGTCAACCTCTGATGTCATAGTTAAATAATAAACATTCTGAAAAGATAGAGACACAAAAACTATTAAAAATATAGAAATTTTGCAAAAAACATTTGGGTGTATCCCTAATATTATGTATTTATTATATTAAACAAAAATGTAGGTGATAAATAGAGATATTTTTATTAATGTTAGAAATAAAAAAAGTAAACTAACTTGAAAGGAAAACTGCTTTTGCATCTAATTTGTGGTTAATGGTCTAGAGGGATGCAAATTGATTGGGTTTAACTTCAGTCCGAACCTACCCAACTTGTAATTTTAGATAGGCTGGTTTGGATTTTCGACTCCCAAGCTAAACTTAGGCCTAAACTCCAATGTTTGGGCATTTTCTGTTTTTCATGTTGGGCTTAAGCCTAACATATACATATATAGATAGATATTTGCATACATATATGCATATATAGAATACATTTATCTCAAATTTTGCCATGAGGCTAATTGACAAACCCAAGTCTCAACCCAACCCAAATAATTTATCAAATTTAGTGTGAGCTGGGCCCAAGTTGGACACATCAGAGGTAGGGTTGGGCTTGGGTTGAGCTTAAACTTGACTCAACCTACTTGACTTGCACAATAACAATCTAATCTTTTGGGTAAAATTGGTCATTCAATGATTTAATAATTAAATAATAAAAATTAAAAAATATATAAAAATACAAAAATTACAAAATACATATTTAAGATGTTATAAATTTAACATATTAAATAAATATATTTTTGATAAACAAGCATTATTTTTAGAATTAATCATGGAAATGGAAAAGAAAATTTAAAGTTGCCCAAAAATGGGGTCACTTTTTCTTTCAAGTCAAATAGATAACATATGGTGTCATAATTATATAATAAAAAGTCAAAAAATAGATAGAGATAAAAAATTATAGAAAACACATAAAATTGTCTATAATTGTGCACATGTCTAATATTATATATTTATCGTATCAAACAAAAACAAATATGATAAATAAAAAGCAATGAAAATGAAATATAAAATTTTAATCCACTAGAACATTATACTTTGTGTTATATCTTTTTTAATGAATTATGATAAGGATATTGAAATTGTTACTGTTATCTAAAATTGCCATGTGCACATATTTACTAGTGAAATAAAAATCATCAAACACTATACAAAATTGACAAAGCTGTCAAACTCTTTTTTATCCGGTACTCATACTTACAAGTTATTTGGTTTCAATAAAGAAGTTGTATATGATGAAAAATGTTCATTTAAAAGTTAAAAAATCATTTTATATTGATAATATATTAGGACATATAAATTAAGTAAGAGATTGGTTTATCTAGGTAAAAAAAGGTTATGAACATAAAACAAGAAAAATTCAAAAACATAGAATCCATATGAAAGTCTAAAGCAAATATTATATTTGTAATAAAGAAGTAAATATATAAGTTAGCAATGGAAGAAATGAATTTTAGCTTAAATATTATTTACTCGAATTAAAAACAGTTATAAACATAAAACAAAATGCAAAAATGAAATTTTAACAAACATAAATAAGAAGTAAAATATGTTGATGATGAATGATTAAGAGCTATTTCCAAAATTAAAAAAGAAAATATATAAATTGACCATATAAAAGAGAGAAATTATTGGCAGTCCACTTCACCTCTTTTATTAATTCCCCCACGTCCCCTATAAACATCCTCCTCTGAATTGAAATTCTTCCCCCGCCCCGCTCTTCCCTTGACACTGACCCACACCGACCCACACCGACCCGAACTATACGATCACATTAATAATTCTGCGGTGACTTTGAAATCAAATTACCCTAATTATATTAATGAATATAAAATATTGCAGGACACCTTAACTAAATCCAAGTCATTAGATTAACACTCTTGTCTGTAATTGTAAATATCTGCTGTCCTTTACGGGAGCGATGCACCATTAATAAATTAATGTGTTCAATCATCAATGGCCTAAAAATTATTTTAGTTTCGGACCTGACAGGATCGCCTGATTGGGTTGAACCCAGATCCGAATATGCTCGGTCCATTTGGTGTCCGTTTAGTGTCACATGAACCGAGAACCCTGGAACATTATAAAGCTGTATTTGGTAAAATTCCAAAAAAGTAAAAAAGGTTTACATCGGCTCTTGAAACACTGTCAGAATGCATATTACTAAACAACCCTCCAGTACCGTATCTAATTACCGGAATGATCGCATTCACGTTTCCACTTTGGTGGCCCCTGATTCACCGTAGAGTCCCCCAAAAATATCTCAGCAGAAAACTAGTTTACTATTCAGAGGCATCATAATATCTCACTATTTTATTGCGTAAAACATGACAAGGTTATTATCGTCCTTTCATCAATCACTCGAATTGGTGGACAGTTTCTCACCCGAATTTTTTTTCGTTATTTTATGCTGTATGTGGATGGATGTTGGTCATGTATGCATGGGAAAAGACATGCATGTGGATGATATGTGAGATCTGAAGCCATGTACATCATTGGAGGTCGATGAAAATATCAACGCCACGTAGGCAGCGATGCATTGGCCGAATGTGCCAGCTTGGGTTACTTAGAAGTCGCGAAAAGATTTTCCTCTCTCATTCCATAATTCTCTGAAAAAAGAATCATTTTTTTTCGTTACCAGAAGCTCAGAGAGAGAAGAAGAGATAGAAAGCGAAAGCAGAGCAACGGAGAGCAGAGCTTAGAATTCTTCCATACGTTCTCAGAACCAAAAGCATGTAAGCCGTTTCTGTGTTTTTAGATTGTTTTTTTTGGTGGGATTTTTTTGACGGAAATATCTTGGGATTTTTGATTTTTTTGTTCTGGTTCGAGTGATGTTAGTCGAAATATTCTTCCGTTATTCTTTTTCTGTGTTTTTCTTAGTAAGAGTTTGATTGGTTCTAGTTGAAGGGGAGTCTTTTGGATTGTTGAAGGAAAAATGTGACTGCTTCTTGCGGGCTTTTGAAGTGGAGATGGGAACCCGGTGATGGAAATCATTTTTTCATTATTTTATATTTCGTTGATTTTTTGTATGTTCCAGTGATTTTGGTTTCTCGGCGGCTTTTGATTCTGCAGAGATTCGAGAGGGAATTACCTGTCTTGATAATTTTAAATGGGTTGAATTTTTTTGAGGTGTAATTTGATTCTTTTTGTGGTGATGGAAGTTATGAACACAATGGAGACAAGAAATGTGGATTTGTGGAAGGACTAATTAGCAGGAGTTGTTCTTCTGTAGTCTCGAATTTAGATCCATACTCCGTTGTAGATAATTCTGTCGGAGAGGTGGACTGGTGGTGTGATGCTCTGCTTTGAGTTCCAAAATACGGATTTCTTATTATTGGCTGGATACGCGTAGATTGGTTAAATTGGAAGTGAATCACATGGCTAGTTCAAGTGAAAGGTGGATCGATGGTCTCCAATTCTCCTCGTTGTTTTGGCCTCCACCACAAGATGTTCAGCAGCGGCAGGTACATTAAACTGCATGAGTTTTATTAATTATTAATGTTATTCTCTTAGCATGTGTCGGATGCTCTCTTTTTCTCTCATACCTGTTGTAGCTTTTATCAAGTATTCTGTTTTTCTGTCATATTTATTGTAGCTTCGATTGGTTAAATACGAAGTTTGGAACAAATGAAATAGGTTACATGGAATACATGATAACAATATTTCTAGCATATGGTAGGAAAGAACATTCTGGTTGAACCGGAGTGCTCAACTTGGACAAGTGTTTTTATAAGATATACTTGAATGATAGGACTATATGTTTAGTAGTCTGAGAAGTGCTTAGTCTATCTTCCTGACCTATTTGTGAATTATCATTTTTTAACTGTTTTTTTAGGATTATGAATGGTGGGGTAAATATTTCCTTATTTCTATCAGTCTTTTGGGTAGCAGGGAGTTTTCTCCTGATTGAATACAATTTATATTATTGATAAAAATATATTTCCTTGTTTCTTTCAATTTATCTGCATCCAAAATTTGTTCAAACTAAGTTTCTTTTTTTTTTCTCTTTGTTATATATGAATGTGAGGATTATCATTGAAATGGGAGCAAGAGTTATTTTTGAAAGCTGAAGCAGGAATTTCAATATTTCAAATTTAGAACCTTGGTTTTCCATTATCTACCAGTGCCTATTATAAGCAATTGCCCAGTTATGCAACATTTGTACCTATTGGCTCTTATTTGACCTAAAGGGCCTTAGCAGCATGTTTCCTGTACATAACAATAACCTTGTTTTGGACAAGGTAGAATTCAAATATAAACAGGATTTCTTTTTTGATAGAAAGTGACTATAAAATAAGGAATATAGAACAGGGAATTTACACACCAAAGAAGGAATATACAAAAAAACTGAAAAAAGAGCCTTCCAAACAGCAAGAATTTAGGGGCTGAGTTTAAGTCAGTCAGGAGTTGAATGGGCTTGCTGACTCTCTGGATAAACAGGGTGTAACAAGATAACAGTTGTTCTGGACTGGTTTTTTACGGGGTTTGAGCAAAAGGAATAACTTTCCCATCGTGTTGTATTAGTTACCTTTTTAATCCATTAATACAAATCATTTTCACTGATAAAAAATAAAAACAGCAAGAATTTAGAAGCATACAATTTAAACTATACAGATTGTCTCTATACGCCCCTGTTTTAGCCAAATTATTAGCAATACTGTTAATTTGTTTGGGAATCCACCAAAAGTAAATGATAACATTGGACGCCAGATCCCTAGCTTCAGCAAGTAAATGGTCCATTCTCCAAGGTCCTCCATGTGGTAGACCAATCTTGTTGATTGTGTTGGCTGAGTTCCCTTCTACCCCCATAAGCTCTAGGCCCAGCTGGCAAACAATTCTGAGGTCAAACAAGGCAGTTTTAACCTCTACCATTGATGCATCTGCCACCCCGATTGGGCCATTGCAATCCCAAATTAGCCCCCTCCTTTCTACATATAAACAGGATTTTCATTCTGTCTAATTCTAACCTTGGGTTTTACACATCTATTGGTGTCACTGATTGCCCAGTTGAATGAGATTTATACCTATATGCCCTTGTTTTGTCTCAAAGGCCTTATTCACATTTTTCCTGTATTTACAGTATCTTGTTAAGAATTACCTCTAAAAGAATACCAGAGACAAGTGTGGCTTAAAGAGGGATTTACATGGTCACAAGAAATGCACAAATACATATAAGAACCTCTACAGTCCATACCTAAAAGAAGAATTGGCCATGGTTCTGGCTTAACATGACATGGTTGTACTCTTAAATTTCTTAACCATCTATGATGAATAGAAAGTTTGCTTTATTGTTATTTGAGTTTTCGGAGAGAAGAAGAAGAGAAGAAAGAAGGAAGAGAAGAGAAGGTTTTGTTAGAGAGATCCGACCCTCTCAAACACTTTGATTCCATAATGAAATAAGTATGAAAGTTACAAACTTACAATATTGCCCTTACAACTTTGGGTATGCTATAACATGATCATGTTACATGTAAAATACCTGGTATACCCATAGACTCCTAAATACACATCTTCCAACAGCTTTCTATGGAAGATAGTCATTTTACACACTCATTGGAGCTTACTCAGTTTTTGGGATCTTAGCCAAAGATATTCCTAGATAAGGACACAAAGAATTCATTGCCTTAAACTTGTATTAACTTCATTGATTTTGATGAACCCTCCTAGGGTGTTTCCAGTTTCTATGAATGTGGATTTACACCAAAAATTGAGAGGAATTTTAAAGATTCTCACTCACAAAATAGAAAAACTAGTGTGAATCCTAATTGTACACCAGAAAAAGCTTGTGACCATTGAAGGTGTTGCATTTGTCATCCGAGATATCCAAAGCTTTAATTTTTGATGAAAAAATAAAATAAAATAAACAAGGAAAACTAATCTTTCACCTTTGGTTTGCATCAACATTGCTTGATCTTTTCTACATATGGTTTAACCTCTATGGGTTCTGCCAATGTCTTCAAACCACTATACCAGGATTTTATGCTAAAAAGCCTTCCTCTTTGCATTCCCCGCCTTGATTACCACCACTTGTCCTGGATAACCACTTCAGTTTAAGCCCTACCCTTCTCATCAACCCTAGACAAACAATATTCACGGAGAAGAATGTTGATTACTTATTGAATATGGATTGCATGGAATTAATAGCCCTTGGACCTAAAGAATTGGCCATGCTACATCTTGGTCCACCACCTACTTGAGTAGGAGAGACTTGTTGATCTGGTGAGCCTCACGTCATCTTTAGTCCCTTCAACTCTTCAACCTCTCTACTCTTCTCCTCACTGTCTCCATAGTTGCAACATCCTTCATCCTTTGACTCTAACTTCCTTATATTCTCTTCTTAGTTAACCTATTCTTCTTCCTCCCCACCCTCCCCCACATAGTCTCTACTGCAAAATGGATACCATTTCTAGTGGAACTCCTGTGTTTTGTAGCCACAACATTACTTCCTCCCACCCCACTTAATGCTCTCATAACCTTGACTAATTTCCCCTCAATCATGGCTTCAATGGCCTCACCAATAGCTGTAACAACCAGATGTAGGCAACTATCTTGGTTTGCCTACCCAATATTAAAAGGCTAACTTGTTAATTATTTGGAATCTGAAGAGGGTATCAGTTGAAGCAGAGGATATCTTTGTATGAGCCTACCATGAATAGCTAAAAACGGGCATCAAGATTTAACGTCAAGGACATTGTTCATTGTGTTCCTCAAAAGGCCTCAATGCTATAAGGGAAGGAATATGAAGTATATTACACTTGGCATATCTGTAGTTATTTCACTATGGAAAAGAAATAGAAGGGGCCTTTGATGGAGTTTTGTTCAATGGGTAAGGGTTTGGAGTAGGTCTGGGGTAGAAGAAACCTTCAACTTCTGGTTTTTAAGACAAAAGAGGAAAATCAGGTTTGACTGGAGAAGCAGATTTGAATGAATAAAGATTTATAAGGTTGATTAGGAGAAGGATATGTGTCTTTTAGAGAGGGACCACTCCATGAAACATGTGGGTGCTGAAAACTTAAATGAATTCTCAAGGAATATTAAGAGATGAATCAAAGCTTAAAAGACACTGGCTTTAATTTTTTTGAGAATCCAATCGCTTTGACACCTTTGGAAATATCTATTTTTCTGGAGCTAAGAGCTTCAACATGTGATGGACTCCTAGGTCTCAAACCCATTTAAGCACCTGTCCTCTGTTATAAATGAAAAAGAGAAGTTATTGGGGGAAGGGTCTAGGGATGATCATGAGCTGGGCCTGGGCCAGGTTTTTACAGGCAATAACAGATTTTAGGCCTGTCTGGGCCCAGACTGGCCTGCACTACGGGCTTGATATTGTATGTCCAGGTCTGGTCCTTGGCTAGGTCATAAATGACCATTCCTAGAAGGATCTAAGAAATGCTAGGGATGTGTTGGTGTAAACTAAACACAGGGGTGTGAAGAGTGAAGATGGGTGCTTAAGTGTGGGTTATGACTGGCCTAATCTAGATCTGAAAGGAAGTGATAGATAATGTTCTTAGGCTATATCTTGGTCTCCAACAGTTCTATTACTGATATCAATGAAAATGGAAGGAGGTTCAAGTAGATAGTATTATAAGATTCTAGAGAAAATGAATACTTCAAATTCTAGAAGATAGGGAAAAACCAGGATCAAACTTCCCATCATGGACAAGTGATTGTTTGAGCAAAATTGTTGCTAATGGATGGGAAGAAAATGTTAAAGCTTTAGTGTCTATATCCCTTGGGAAGAAATTTGAAAAGTTTGTTGTTAAAGGGAAAGGAAAAAGAGGGGAGAGACAGAAAGCAACGAACCACAACTAAGGGATGAGCGAGAGGGAGCTTGTAAGGTTTGAGGTCAGGTTCCTGGTAATTACTTAGCTAAGGTCCCAGCGTATGGAAGATGCCTCAAATTGGATAGTTGGCATGGGGTGGCTATTGAGCTTAGTGGGGCATCATTTGATTTGGGAATCTGGTTTCTCTCTTATTCCAAGTGTCTATGTTTGGACTTTTTTTGTATATCAGTGTATGAGACTCTTCTTCAGCTTTGGAGCTAAGGGTTAACTTTCCCTTGCCTCTATCCTTTTATCTATACATTTCATATAACTTTTTTTTTTTTGCTTTAATAAAATTCCTTTATCTATGATCTATCAGAAAGAATGATTTTATTAACATCTTGTACTTTTTTTTGTCAATTTGAGTCCTTAGATTATTTCCTATCATTTCAACCTTCATTTTCTTTGGTCTTCCCCGTGCCCTTTTAGATCCTTCCATTTGCACCAAGTAATTCCTCATCGCTGCAGTCATTTTTCATCTATGCACACGACAAGACCATCTTAGATGACTTTTCCTTGTCACCAATTAGGACTGCTCACAAATCTTTCCTAAAGCACTTGTTTCTAATTTTTTCCTTTTTAGTCTTGCCATTCATCCATCTGAGCATCCTCATCTCAGATACTTTCTCTTTGTGAACATG